CTGCACGCAGAAAAGGATGCTCAGACGGAAACTATTGCCACTGTTTAAGCAATCCATGTAAATACTGTGCTACATCTGGCGAACAGAGTGGCTCCAAGTAAGGAAGCGCGGAACTGGCTGACAATTTAATGCAATTCAGTTTAATTTGCCTTATAGGATCTCTGTATGGGATCAGAATCATAGAGTCATTTGGTTTGGAAAGGACCTTTAAAGGTCATCTACTCCAACCCTCATGCAGTGAGCAAGGACATATTCAACTCTATCAGGCAGGTCAGAGCTGCATCCAACCTGACCTTGAATGAATCCCATGCAAAAAACAAAGCCTGAAGAAATTATATTACATGCCAAAGGGTTACCATATTTCTTCATTCCTCCCTATAACATGTTAAGATATAAGAACATCTTGAATACACCAAATCTGTAAAATTTGTGTTGTCAGTTTTCATGACTTTCTCAAGAATTTTATGAGCTGTTCTTTAACTTCACCTCCATGAGCACATTAACATGTTAGCTGACATGAAAAACATTTCTAGGCATCAAAGTAGGAAAGGAAAAAGCTTAAATATGCAAGCTGACTCTACTCCATATACCTACAGAGAAGAACGGGGTTTGTCGCTATCAGACCATTTAAGCCAATCTCACGATTTTGCAATTTCTCGCACATGATGGCATTTTAAAATCCATCAAAACCATCGCTACAATTGACAGTCCCTGGTGAAAACAGGTGGGACTCATTGAACTCTTCCGAGGTGTTGCAGAGTATCTGAGACACCTGCATGGGGCTGGCAGACGTAAAATATCCATCTAGACATGTGCTCCTCCGTAGCAGCAGCTTTAGGCTGAGTGGGTACCCTGCCGTGTCTGAAATGATACTTGACAGCTACAGAGTGAAGGCTGGATCCCACCCACCCTAACAGCTTTCCAAGTGTGAAAAACTTGCTTGCTTGCAGTCCTGAGCTGTGTGCTGTCAGCTACTGACTCTAGCATCTCTGAATGTGCTCCCCTGGCATCCAGTGTGGCTACTACAACCACACACTAAGGAAATAAGAGCATTTTTCTCCCTCGAGCCCCCCGTGAAAAGGAGAGGCCTTTGTGGCAAATGTAAACACAGCAGCTTAGGTTTAGCGTAGGCACGCACACCCGCATGACCGTCCCGCGGGGCTATTCCAACAAGGTGAACCTCACAGCGTTGTGGTCACCCTCGTCACCACCACATCCTGGCATCTGTTTGGTCCAGTAACTCTCTGAGGAACCACCCACCACCGCAAGCTACACCCTGACTGTTTTGTGACAATTAGACTAAGGAGGACACACTCACCAGAATTTGTTTCCCTTAAAAGTAGTATCCAAATTCAGCTCTTTGAAGATGAGAGGAGCAGGGCGTCTTTCCTGTAGTGATTTTCCTCAATAATAAAGCCAGGTGTATTTTCCTCGCTCTGTAAGAAGCTTTGGAGGAAATAACGCAACTGCAACACAACACTGCATAAGCAGCTCACACCAATATCTTCCTTTCATATTTCTTAGTTTTGTTTTTTTTTGTCCCTCCCACAGCAGAAGGTATTTTCACGTAATTTATTTTCTACAATTTCTATCCTTTTTACAATTACAGAATTAAAGAATTGGAATGTAGAAGACATTTCTGTAATTTATTAATTCACAGGTAATCTAACTGTATATTCTATACCTATCTCTATTTGCGCGAATACATTACATACCAGCAATAGCAACTGCTTTAATGCAACAGTTGAGATGGTATTGCCCTTGTGCACACACACACTCTCCAGCAGTAAAAATCATCTTGACCCATGAAAAAAAGCTTCCAGAACTGTCAATTACATGGCAAGTTTGCTGACGATGCAAAACTGGGAGGAGTGGCTGACACACCAGCAGGCTGTGCTGCCATTCAGAGAGACCTGGACAGGCTGGGCAGGGAGAAATCTTATGAAGTTTGACAAGGGCAAGTGTAGAGTTTTGCACTTGGGAAAGAATAACCCCAGGTGCCAGTATAGGTTGGAGACTGACCTGCTGGAGAGCAGTGCAGGAGAAAGGGACCTGGGGGTTCTAGTGGACAGCAGGATGACCACGAGCCAGCAATGTGCCCTCGTGGCCAAGAAGGCCAATGGCATCCTGGGGTGTATTAGAAGGGGAGTAGCTGGTAGGTGGAGAGAGCTCCCCCTGCCCCTCTACTCTGCCCTGGTGAGGCCACATCTGGAATATTGTGTCCAGTTCTGGGCCCCTCAGCTCAAGAGAGACAGGGAACTGCTTGAGAGAGTCCAGCGCAGAGCCACAGAGATGCTGAAGGGAGTGGAACATCTCCCTTATGAGGAAAGGCTGAAGGAGCTGGGTCTCTTTGGCTTGGAGGAGACTCAGGCCTGACCTCGTTAATGTTTATAAATATGTCAAGGGGGAGTGTCAAGAGGACAGAACCAGGCTCTTCTCAGTGATGTCCAGTGACAGGACAAGGGGCAATGGGTACAAGCTGGAGCACAGGAGGGTTCACAAAAACATTAGGCAAAACT